AAAAATATTTATAAGGATAAACTTGTTCATAATATGAGAATTAGGATTTGGTAGGTCAAATGTCTAAAATAATAAGACTTATTTAAAATATAAAAATATCTTATATACTAATTGAAATATAAGTATTTGAAAGAGAACTTTCTAATAAATTTATCTTTGTTTATAGGGGTCAAATCTTAAGTTTTTTTTTTTTTTTAATCTATAATTTTTTCAAAAAAATAAAAAAATAATTAAATTGTTTGTCATCAATTAAAAATTTTAAAATATAACATCAATTTTTTCATTCCAAAAAAAAAAATCTTTTAGCAACTTTTTAAACGCATTAACTCCTAAAAAAACTAAAAATGATTAAAAATGCCACCCCCAAACAAACTCTAAATAAATGAGACCCACTTGAAAGGATAAACCATGATAATTTGATGAAGTTTCTTTTCATGTAAAGGAATCCTAGTTGTTACCAGCAACTTCTATGAAAAAAACACCAAAAAGCAATTTTCTTCCATAATGTTGATGCGTGTCATTGAGCAATTGGACAATCGTAAATGAACTATTCATGGTGTTTTTTTGCAAATAGAAGATAGTTAAAAGTTAAATTTTTTTGATTTTTATAACTTTTTTACTGTTTCGTATAAGAAGTGGTGTAAGGTAAAATAGATTAAAAATTAACTTTTGGTTTTTTTAATAGGTTGTCAAACACCCCCATAATCTTTCAAAATTTTCCCTTTTGCTTTGTGAGAGAGAGAGAGAGAGAGAGAGAGATTTATGAACAACTTTTACAATTTTAAGGATTACGGTCTTAAAGAAATTTGTCATAATTACAAAAAGAAAAAAAAAAGAAAGAAAAACTAATTAAAGAAAGTGTCATATGGGAAGTTTGTTCAGTGATTTAGGAGTTGTTTGGAATGTTTTAAATAAGTGTGTTTTTTAATTTTTTATGAAATATAAATTGAGTTTGAAGCGATGTGGTAGAGAGGTGATGCGACTTAAATAAGATGATGTGATTTAAATATGATAGCGATTTTTTGACTTTTTAACTTTTTTAATATATGTCAAACAAGGCCTTAATATTAAAAGCCATTCTATTCCAAATGACATATTTGGGTTTTCTCATTTTGGTCTTAGTGGGTGTTTGAGAAATGAGTTTTTTTTAGGCTTTTTTAGTTATAGGATATTATTGGAGAATTTTTTTTTTTTTTTGTGTTTGAGAAGATAGTTGGGTTTTTTTTAGTAATGCTACGTCGCTCGAAAATGGCCCCCCCGAATCCCCTTAAAGGCAAAAACGAACGTTGTTTTTGCCTCTTTTTTTTTTTTTGAATCAGAAACGAAGAAGAAGAAGAAGAAGAAGAAGAAGAAGGGAGAAGAACAAGAACAAGAACAACAAGAAGAAGAAGAAGGGAAGAGAGAAGTGAGAACTGGACAGGAAGGGGCATAAACTAGGGGCAGAGGCGCGGCGGAGGCGAGGCGGAGGCTGAGCTGCTGCGACGATCGGCGATCGGCCGATGATCGGTCGAGCTGCTGTGACGGCCGAGCTTCTCTCTCCCTCTCTCTCTCTGTTTCCCTCTCTCCTCTCCTCTCTCTTTCTCCCTCTCTCTCTCTCTTGCCTTCACCCTCTTTTCCCCCTCTTTTCCCTCTGTTTCCCTCTATTTCCATTTTCGGGGGATTCGGGGGGGAGCTCATTCGAGCTCCCAAGCTTTATCCTCTTCTATCCTAATTGATCCCATAAATTTGACCTTATATTCAAATAGATCATTTTTCCTACATTAGAGGTATTATGTGAACTATTTTACCCTCATAGATTTGGAAAATGTTTGGGACCCTCTTTTGGGAGACCCCCACCACCCCTACAGTGATGTGGATTAATGATATGTTTGTATTTTTTTTTTCTTTCTCTTTTTTATTTGGATCAATCACAAATGAGTAGGAGTTTTGTGGGTCTGAATCATTACTGAAAGATAAAATATGTTAAAAATTTGATAAAATAAAATGTTCTATATAAATTATAATTTTTTTTTTTATAAAAATCAAAAAATATCATTCTAAACAAAATTTTTTAATCCCATATTAAAATAATAAAAAAAAAAAATCACATCTCAAACAAACACTCTGTGTAATCCCGGTTATATATTGTACCTCCTTTTTTCCCTCTCCTTGTCCCTACTCCATATCTCTCTCTCTCTCTCTCTCTCTCTCTATACTCCGTCATCTTGGAATTTTTTTTTTCTATTCAATTAATTAAATATTTATCTTGTCTTTTGCACAATTAATTACTATTACAATATTGTTATTTACATCATCAAGAAAAATTTATTTAAGTTTAATAGTTCATATCACATAATTTAAAAGTTTTGTGTTTTGTTAAGTGGTGGTACTCTTGTTGTGAATTTTGATTTTAAAAAATATATATTTTTTTTACATGTCTTCTTTTTTTTTTTTCTTTTTTTATATTATATTAAAGGTTAATATTTTGATAATAATTATATGTGTTGAACTTTTCAAGAAATTTTTTTTATGTTTGTTCTTAATGCATTAAAGTGTTATTATGAGGGATAATAATCATATGTGTTGGAACTTTTCAAGGAATTCATATGTGTTGGATTTCAAAAAAAAATTTATGGTTGTTCTTAATTCATTAAACTATTATTACGAGGATAAGACTTGGAAATTGAGAGAAGTTAATAAATGTTAAGAAATTTTTTTTTTAAATCAAAAAATCAAGAATTTTAGATTGGGAGATTGAAACTCTCACAAAGGTTGGGGCTAAAAACTCCCTTTTGCTTAATATATACTATAGACTAGCAGATCACCTGTGCTATGCACGGATTGTATTTACAATTATTTATATGTGAATTGTGATTTTTAAATATGTTTTTTTAAATGACTTCTTTTTTTTCCCTTTTTTATATTATATTAAAGTTTAATATTTTGATAATAATCATATGTGTTAGACTTTTCAAGGAATTAAATGTTTTTTCCCCTTTTTATATTATATTAAAGTTTAATATTTTGATAATAATCATATGTGTTAGACTTTTCAAGGAATTAAATGTCTTTTTTTTTTATGATATTATATTAAAGTTTAATATTTTGATAATAATCATATGTGCTGGATTTTTCAAGAATTTTTTTTTTATGATTGTTCTTAATGCATTAAAGTGTTATTATGAGGGATAATAATCACATGTGTTGAGACTTTTCAAGGAATTCATATGTGTTGGATTTCAAAAAAAAATTTTTATGCTTGTTCTTAATGCATTAAAGTGTTATTATGAGAGTAAGAATTGAGAGTTGGGAGAAGTTAATTAATGCTAAGATTTTTTTTTTAAATCAAAAAATCAAAAAATTTAGATTGAGAGATTGGAGCTCCCATAAGGCTTGGGGTTAAAAACCCCCTTTTGCTTAATATATAGTATAGATAGATGGGTGACATAATTACCAAATAGTAATGTCTGGTGGCCTGAAAATTCATGGCTCGAATGTGTCGAAACGACGTCATTTTGGGAATAAAACGACGTCATTTTGGGGATAAAACGACGTCATTTTGATACATTCGAGCCATTCAGACCATCAAGCATTTTTCATTACCAAAATTCTCCTAATAATAATAAGATAAATCGCGCATTAATGTTCTCATTGATAGTGAATATTTCACACTGTTAAATTTATTTAATGTGAATGTTTACATCACCAAGTTGCTAAAGATTCAAAAAATATTTATAAGGGTAAAATTATCCATAAAATACTTTAAAGATGAGAATTAAAATTTGATGAATCAAATATCCAAAATAAGAAGACTTATTAGAATATAAAAATATTTTATGAACTAATTGAAATACTAATATTTGAAAGAGAACTTTCTAATAAATTTCTCTTTGTTCATAAGTCTCAAATTTTAAGGTTTTGTTTGATAATTTTTTTTTAAAATTTTAAAAAATCATTAAATTGTTTGTCATCAATTAAAATATAACATCAATTTTTTCATTCTAAAAAAAATATATTTTTTAACAATTTTTCAAACGCATTAATTTCTAAAAAAACTAAAAATGATTAAAAATGCCAACCCCAAACAAACCCTAAATAAATGAGGTCCACTTGAAAAGATAAACCATGGTTAAATTTGATGGAGTTTCTTTTCATGTAAAGGAATTCTTAAAGTTGTTACCAACAATTTCTATAAAAAATACCGAAAAGCAATTTTCTTCCATAATGTTGATGCTTGTCATTGAGCAATTGGACAACCGTAAATGATGAATAAGCTTTTTCTGCAAATTATATATATATATATATATAATCTTTCAAATTTTTCCCTTTTGTTTTTGCTTCTTTTTTTTTTCTATTTTATGAACAACTTTTACAATTTTTAGGATTCCGGTCTTAAAGAAATTTGTCATAATTACAAAAAGGAAAAAAGAAAAGAAAAGAAAAATGAATTAAAGAAAGTGTCATGTGGGAAATTTGTTCAGTGATTTAATATTAAAAGGCATTCTATTCAAAATCGCATATTTGGGTTTTCTCAATTTGGTCTTAATGTCTTGTAATTATGGTGGAATTTTACTATGAAGTCTGATCAATTTGAATTAGACCAGTTATTTTGAGTCTGAATTTTGTTTAAAGCCATGGTATTCATTTTACATTCATCTTTCCTATGTTGTTTAATATAATATCGATTTTTTGAATTCAATTGAAGCACTTTTCTGTAAAATCTTAAATATTTTTATTTTATTCTTATTTTAGTTCTAAAACTTTACAGGATTCGCAAACATGATATTAAACATGATTCCTATTAAAAGTCTAGATTAGTCGTATAGCTTCATAAATAATTTCAATCATTTATATCCATTTTTGAAATCGTTGAACAAAGTTTTCTACATTGTTATGCTCTCTAAAATTTTAAAAACGCTGCTCATCACTGATCACATGTTTTTGTGTGGATGGTCATATGTCAGAAGCATTCCCTTTGCTCTTCAAATCCTAATTGGGGTTTTAACTTTGTGGTTTTTCAGACACAAAGCGTTTGATTGGAAGGAGATACAGTGATGCCTCAGTGCAGAGTGACATCGAGTTGTGGCCTTTTAAGGTCATAGCTGGTCCTGGTGACAAGCCAATGATTGTCGTCACATACAAGGGCGAAGAGAAGCAGTTTGCTGCTGAAGAAATCTCTTCCATGGTCCTCATAAAGATGAAAGAGATTGCAGAGGCTTACCTTGGCACCACAATAAAAAATGCTGTTGTTACTGTTCCTGCCTACTTAAATGACTCTCAAAGACAAGCAACAAAAGACGCCGGTGTCATTTCCGGTCTTAATGTTATGCGCATCATTAATGAACCAACTGCAGCGGCTGTTGCTTATGGACTTGACAAGAAAGCCAAAATCATTGATGAGGAGAACGTGCTGATTTTCGATCTTGGCGGTGGGACGTTTGATGTTTCTCTCCTAACCATTACAGAGGGCATTTTTGATGTCAAAGCTACAGCTGGTGACACACACTTGGGTGGTGAGGACTTTGATAATAGAATGGTGAAACACTTTGTTCAGCAGTTCAAGAGGAAGCACATGAAAGATATTAGTGGGAACCCAAGAGCAATGAGGAGGTTGAGGACCGCTTGTGAGAGAGCTAAGAGGATTCTTTCGTCAACTACGCAAACTACAATCGAGATTGATTCTTTATATGAGGGTATTGATTTTTACACGACAATAACTCGGGCTAGGTTTGAGGAGCTGAACATGGATTTATTCAGGAAGTGTATGGAGCCCGTGGAGAAGTGTTTGAGGGATGCGAAGATGGACAAGAGCAGTGTCCACGATGTGGTTCTTGTCGGAGGCTCTACTAGGATTCCAAAGGTTCAGCAATTGTTGCAGGACTTCTTCAATGGGAAGGAGCTCTACAAAAGCATTAACCCAGATGAGGCAATTGCTTATGGTGCTGCGGTTCAAGCTGCAATTTTGAGCGGTGAGGGCAACCAGAAGGTGCAGGACTTCTTGTTGCTCGATGTCACCCCTCTTTTCCTTGGTTTGGAGATAGATGGCGGGGTCATGACTGTTTTGATTCCAAGAAACACAACAATTCCAACCAAGAGAGAGCGAGTGTTCTCTACATATTCTGATAACCAACTTGGTGTGTTAATTCAAGTCTATGAGGGTGAGAGAACCAAGACCAAAGACAACAACCTGTTGGGAAAATTCAAGCTCACTGGAATTCTTCCTGCTCCTAGTGGTGTCCCTAAAATCAATGTATGTTTTGACATTGATGCTGATGGTATTTTGAATGTCTCTGCAGAGGACAATACTACAGGGAAGAAGAACAAAATCACCATCACCAACGACAAAGGTCGGCTATCGAATGAGGAGATTGAGAAGATGGTGCAAGAGGCTAAGAAGTACAAATCGGAAGATGAGGAGCACAAGAAGAAGGTGCAGGCGAAGAATGCATTGGAGAATTACGCGTACAATATGAGAAACACGAACAAAGATGAAAAGATTAGCGCAAAGCTTAGTTTTGCTGACAAAAAAAAGATTGAAGATGCAATTGATCAGGCACTTCACTGGCTGGATGCGAACCAGCTCGCTGAGGCGGATGAATTTGAGTACAATATGAAGGAGTTGGAGTGCATTTGTAATCCAATAATTGCCAAGATGTACCAGGGTGCTGGTGGCGGTGACATGGGTGGAGCCGTGGATGAGGATGGTTTTTTCTCTCTCAATATTAAGTCTTCCAAGGATGATAAAAGAGCCTATCCTGTCAAACACTTCACTAAGAAAACTGTGTCTCAGAGTCATGCTCATGTGGGGGGTAAGGGTTCTTCTCATGAAGGTAATGAACAAGCCAAGGAGAAAGCTGAGTTTGATGTAACTGCTAGTGGTGTGGGGGAGCCTGTCTATCCTCAGTCTATTCGTGGTCAGATCCTTCAGCTTGAACGTGGCATGAATCAGCGCTTTGATCATCTTGATGCTCTTCTGGAGCAATTTGATAGGCGTCTAACCTCTTTAGAGTCTACTACTGGCCACATTGCCTCTTCTGTTGATCAGGTGACCTATCGGGTCTCTTAGCTCCTATCTTATTACCAGATGCAGCCATCTTTACCACTGCCATATCAGTGATTCTTCTTTATCTGTGGTTGTTGGTCTCTCATGGTTCTTGTATTTCTATTCTAGATGTCTTTGGACTTGTTTTATCTATTATGGTTGTAGGTCTTTGGGATTGTCTCTGATGGTTTTATTTGTTTTTGGGATTAGTACTTGCTGTATTTTGAACATGTTCTTGGTTATTCTGCCTTTGTCTCTTCTGGACAAAAATAGGGAGAGATGTTAGCATATGCTTAGTGTTTTTTGGATTAATTTACTTTGCTAATCATCTATTCATCTCTATTGCTATCCATTTATATACTGTGTGTTTGCAGGTTGGTTCTTCACTGTTGTATAGAGTGGTAGGTTGTGTCGTTTGTTGGTTGTGTGTTTGTTACGGTTTCTAATGTTAGAAGTGTTTTGTTCAGGAATTGCCAAATGGGGAGATTGTTAGGTTCCTTGATTTGGCAATTCCGCGAACAAAAACAGTTGAGTTGTGATGTTGATTGGTTTGGTTTGCTTTCAAATTCAGCAATTTTAACCAGTCAACATTCATGTACTGCTTAAGCGATGGAGTTTGCGCTCAAGTATTGAAATGAGCCATCTAAGTACCTCAGTTTGATTTTTGAGATACTGAGAGGTTGCATCTACCATTCAAGTGTGCATTCTTGCGCTCGAACGAAGTGAAGGCATGAAGTTTGCTAGTATTGCCTCTAGACACGACCTGCGCTCGAGCGGTCTTCGCGACTCTGGTCTCTTTAAACCTAGAGGTGCACATCGATCGAGCAAGGTTGCGTTTGAATCAAACTTGCACTACTTAGGCCTAATTTGGAAACTTGGTTAAAAGCCAATTTGGCTTTTAACGTATTTTGAGTCTTATCATCTCTCTATTTTTTATACGTTTTCTCAAAAAATAAACAAAAAAAAGTCCAAAAAATCAGCTTTTAATCAACTTTCCAAAACAAGACTTAATAAGGGACTTTGTGTCTGCCCAAACCCAGCTTGACCCGAACATCGGGCCTACAATATCCAAGCCTAATTTAGCTTGTTTGGTTTGAATTTTCTGAATTCATTTTTTAGAAAATTGAATTTTTTTTTTTCACTGAATTATTTTAATATTTTACGCAATTTTTTTTAAATTCTTTTTTAGATATACCTAACATAAATACAAAAAAATATAATATTTGTAAAAAAAATCTTTAAAAAAATCACTAAATACCAAAAATATAAGATAAAAAAAAAAAAAACAAAAGTTCAGTATATTTTTCGTATTCTTGTGTATTTATTGATTTTTTAAAATATTTTTTATAAATATTTTATTTTTTAGACACATCTAAGTAAGGTGTATTTAAAAAAAGTAAGAAAATTGCTTAAAATCTTAAAAATATTCACTAAAAAAAAAAACACGAAAAAAAAAAATCAATTCCCAGAAAATTGAATCCAAAAAATTGACACTATACACAGTAATATATTTCTCAAACCATCCCATTAGGCCTACATACATATGAGTTGTTTTAAAAATAATTCAAACAAATTAAGGTAGAGACCTTAGATTACATGTATCCTATAATGAAAATAACTCAATATGCAGTGGGGTGCCGACCTACGTTACACGGACTCGTCAGTTTTGGCGAAGTTCCCGTGTCGATACGACATGACACGGGTACGGGTACGGGATACGGACGGGATACGGCATGGAAGAAGTGGATACGGCATGGAAGAAAAGACGTAGAGTAAAGGAGAAGAGAAAGAAACCTGGTCGGCGAGAGGATCCTGATCGGCGACTTCGAACCAGTCGACTTCGATGACCTTTGAACCAGTCGCAGCAGTCGATTTCGATGACCTTCGAACCAGTCGCGTCTCTCACTCGATCGCCTCTTCGACCAGATCGCGTCTCTCGCCTTCGCTCTCTCTCTCTCTCTCTCTCCTTTTCGCCTCTGTCTTATCTTATACATATGTATATAGAATAGAAGATATAAGATATAATACGAAGATATAAGATATAATACTTATAATATATATAATATATAATATATAATATATAATACTTACTTATAATATATATAATATATAAATAATATATAATATATAATACTTATATAATATATAATACTTATATTTATAACAGTTAATAAAAAAATACATATATTATATAATATAAAATAAAATAAAATAAATAAAAACACATTATTTAAAAAATAAATTAAATAATTAATATGTATTAAAAAAATATTTATTCCTTATTTATTATATTTTTGTTATTTATAATATATATGCCAATTAAAAGAAAAAAAAAATTATATAGATAAATCAGAAAAATTATCAATAAAAGTAATACATAAGATAAAAATAATAAATATATTTAAAAAATAACTATTTAACTTATCTTTATATAATAAATATATTTTAAAAATTAAATATTTAACGTATCCCCGTACCCGTATCCTCGTTTGGATCCGTATCCACGTATCCTCAATTTTTAATTTTGAAGTACCCGACCCCTAGATACGTACCCGCACCCAATACCCGCACCCGAGTCCGTGTAACATAGGTGCCGACAACATACACTCATAAGAAAGTAGTAGCAGACTCGTGAATTTCATCACCCATGCAATGATAACTAGAAAGAACTCAAATTCCTTCACCCTTCACACAATAGATGTCCCAGCATAAACTCCTCATATTATTTAAAACAAAATATAATGGCTCCTAACATATTTTGTAAAACAAAAAAAAATAAAATAAAGTCGAGTCCCTACCAGGCCACATTCAAGAAATAAACTATTGATTTTGAATTGCAAATCTTCATATACTTGCAAAAAGGTTCTGCACGAGCTAGGATTATTCACTGCCCGCTGATTTTGAAAGGCCAGGGGGTTCATGTGTTTCAGCTTCTCATCATGTTTGAACAAATGTGTACCTCTTGCTACTCTACTCACAAAGGAGTTGCAAGGTTCTAGTCCCACTCCAGAGAAAGTGTCTTTGCTCAAGCTACAGTTGCTAAGCATGGGAAAGTTCAACTTTGCAGACTGCAATATCCATCCAGATAAAATATATTTCTTTCTTTTATTCTTTTCATATAATAAAAAAAGCACCGGATCATAACTATAGATGCCGAGTGTGAGTTTGTGGGTTTTAAGTCTTAGGATAACCACTTTGTGCATATTATGCCAAATATTAAGATTTATATCAAATTCAAATCTACACCTCCCAAGACCCTCATATAATGGAAGCTAGTAAGTAGGGATGAACTTTCTAATAAAACAATGCAGGACATAAAATTCAACTCCTCAAAGTATTCAAGAGCTATGAGTCGCCACTTAAATCTAAGGCTAGGATTTATGGTTCAACAATTGGTTTCCTAAAAGAGTGCAAAAACTCTTGACTTGTGTGGGTGAGAGGTGTGGTTAGAGGCAGTCTAGGAAGATGGCGGGCACTTTAATGGCTTGAGATCACCGGATGTGGAGAGGAGGAAGTCAAGGCGAGCTTGGAGAGGGAGAGGTTGGCAGTGATGGACCTTGAACACTGATGTAGAGTATGAGAGAGGGTGCTTAAGTGTGAGACTTAGTGTGTTAGAATTATGGAGTTGTGTTATTGTGTGGTGTCTTGCTGCATATACGATACGTTATATAGGCCACAGGAGTATTGGAGCCCAAGCAAATTGTTAAACAGAAGGCTCGTTCTCCTCAATTCTGCCAGAAGTAATATAAGCCCTTCTGTCGTCTGTGGCTTGACGACAGGTAGAGAGCAACGTTTCATGGTAGGCAAAAAGTAACGTTTCGTATATACATCGAATGACATGAATGTAAGGTCGTTGTTGTCTCTTCTCCAAGCCTGGTCGAGATGGAGTTGTCTTAGCAAGAAGTCAACCATCTCGACCATCCCATGACCTAAGTCGCCAATCCAATATCCTTTGATGATCTCGAGCAGTAATGCCTGGGTCCTACTCCCAACTCAGGCATCCAAGTAGGTGAATGGGCCAGGGCCCACCTCAGTGTTTAGGAGAGTCAGGGGCTTGCTTCCAAGCGACCAAGTAGGAGAATAGGCCGCAGGCCTATCTCAATGTTTAGGAGAACTAGTGTTTATCAATCCACGTCCAAGTGAACCGAGGACTAATTATATTGTTGTTTGGTCTTAGAGAGACGTATGAAAGACCATGGGCCCTGCGAGGCCATGGTGCTGCCTGTTGCAGGGCGCTTCATATTTAGATATGTTTGGGCTTATATGTATGCTCCCACTTAGGCGAAGTATATAGTCTTGGTTTTGCGTGGTGCCTTGGCACGTGGCACCTGTAGGGCTCGCCATGTATCAAACATATGACGTGCCCACGTGTTGCCTTATTGGTCTGCCACGTGGGTAGGGTATTGGTGATGTGGCACCCGTAGGGCTTACCAAGTATCGGGCTTGATACAAGTATCCACAACTTGTTCCAAATACTATGCTGGGCCTTTTCAATAAGTAATTTTCAACATTTGTGCAAGCAGGACCATGTGAATTAGACAAAATAAAAATGGCCGCCATATATTGACTAAGATACATTTTGTTCAAATATACAGGACTCGCTGTATCTACTCTCAAATAAGTATACATTTTCATACTGCACGATTCCACTTCAATGGCTTACTCCTTGGCCTAGAATAATTTGGAACTGGTTTACTTCCATTAGAAGCATAAACCTCTTCCAAAACCTTCCCGTCCTGCAGAAAACTTTGAATTTGTAATATTTCATTTATTGTGGAGTTTATAAAGTTGAGAGTTTACTCTATTTTCCATTATGTAAGAAATCTAGTCCCTGAGTTCATGTAGATATCTCTAGTTACATCTTTCAACCAGTGTCAAAATCCTCTTAAAGCTTTTTTTTTTTGGGACATGAAAATTAAGAAATTCATACTCACATTTACAGCACACTCATTTACTGCAACAAAATCAGTCCTCTGTACCGTATAATGAACAAATGAAATAAAGTTAAGAACTTATCCGCATCCTATCTGTCCCTATACAGGATGTAAATCCTACCTGCCAATCAATGATCTACCCTAGGTTGATCTACATGGCTGAAATAATCTCCAACTAAATAATGGATTTGATCAAGATATTAATGGCAGCAGAACAGAAGAAGATGGTGTCATCTACAAATGAACTTTTGTTCTGTACCGATGAGAGTTGGTGAAAAACAAAAGATTCTCCTAGTCCATGCCTTTGTCACTGAACAACGTTCTTCAAGCCAAAACGTTTCAACAGATGAACATATAGTTATGTTGGTTCCTTTCAAGTGTTCGGAATAAAGCATGCATGATAAGGGACGTCAACATAAAAAATGATGTCAAAGAAATAAAATTCCAAATATAGATAAAAGAAACAACAAAGACAATGAATAAAGAACATGGTGTAATTACCACAAACGGAATAAGCCAGGAAATTCCAGCTCCACTTTATCAAGCAGCTATTGTAGTTGGGCCTTCGAAAGAGGGGATCCAAAAGAAACCTTCTGTCAGCAGTCCCTTTGAGTAAAGATGATGTGAAAAATCAGCAATAAACTATTTATTCTGCATTTAAAAAAAAATTCCATCAACATTGTTTAAAAGCCAAAGATTTAACAACCTCATTTGCCACATTTAAAAGAGCTTGATATAAACCAATCCAGACTGGTATTGTAGCCAAAGTAGGTAAACATCCTGTTAAACACAACATTAAATAAGCTGTTGACATGCATTCGAATCATATAAATTTATGAGCGCCAAGCAGATGTGATAAAAAGGAAAACGTTGGAATGGAAACCTAGAACAAGGAGGGTTGGGTGGGGAAAGGGACACTGGACTCCAGTGATAGAGGCACACATAAATGAACACGATGCATAAAAAAACTACAGATGTGTAACAACCCACAACAGCTACCCTATCCCAAGCCACAATTAAATTATAAGCTCAAAAGACAGTTGAAAACTTGTTCAATCAGGTGGACATCTTACATGAAAGCACAGACAGCGAAACAAATTATAAGTAAATAGTTCTCACACTCATGTCAATTATGCTATCTTTACTCAAATTATAGCACCCTCTAATTTGAGTAAAGAATGAGTTACTAGACTTTTTATTTACTCTATGAATTTTGGGACAGAGTATTATCCAGTACTTAATCATACCAGGATGAAATTGGATAAACAATTTCATCCATTTGAATTGACAAATAATAATAATAACGTAAATTTGTAAGCATTTATACAAATACACAGAGCTTAATGCTAAAACCATAGAACAAATGAAGTAGTATATTAACGCATTGGTTGAGTTAATAGAAGCACTACAGCTACAACAATTTTACCTTTAAAACAACTTCCATGGCGTCAGAGATAAAACCAATAGAGTCGACGGAGTATATTGGAGGAAGCTCGTGGAAGCTGAACTTGACTCTGGTGGCGATGAGTATGCGGTGGAGGCCATGGCGAGAGAGTGAAGGGAAGGGCGTGCCATTGATGGTTGGAGATGAGATTCGAGTTTTGGTCATAGAATTGGAGAATTCTAGGGTTTGTGAAGGAGAGAGACCCTCTTGGGATGTTTGTTTGGAAGGATTGGAGGGAGATTTGGAGGGGTAATGCTATGATCATGAAAAAAATAATTACGAAAATGATTATGAAATTTTTTTTTTTTTATAAAGGGAATTAAATTAATAGTATCTATAGTTAGGTTTGTGTCACTTTAGTCTTTAATTTTTTAATTGTGATATATTTGATTTTAAATTTTGAATTTTATTTTAAATAAGGATATTTAAAAATACCATTTTTCAATTTCAAGGAAAGTCATCAATTTAATAAAACATAAATTAATTTGACAAAAATAAAATGTCAATTTTTTTAAAAAAAAATTTAAAAAATATTTCTACCTACCAAAGATAACATTATGTACAATTAATAAATTGTTTAGACATTTAGTTTTTTTATAACAAATTAATTTTTATTATGTGCTTGGATAATGATCATGTAATGGATAGTTATTAGGCTTTTAATATGTAATAGATATATTAATATATGAAATATTTTTAGTTTTGGATTTTTTGATTTCATGAATTGGTTTAATAATGAGATTAAAATTTTCTGTCATATTTGATTTTTGAAAAAATAGAAACTAATTTAATGAAAATAAAACAACTACTCATTACACATAATAAAAATTAATTTAGTAAAATAAATAAATAAATAAATATTTAAAAGATTTATTAGTTTTACATAATTTTATCTTGAGTGGGTGGAAATAATTTTTAAAAATTTAAAAATATTTTTTTGACATTTATTTTTGTCAAATTAGTTTATATTTTATTAAATTGACAATTTTACTTTTCAAATTGAACAATGATATTTTCAATTATCCTTATTTGGACAAGATTCAAATTTCATGATTAAATGTGTCACAATTGAAAAGTCAGGACCAAAGTGAGACAAAACCTAAACTATAGAGACCATTAGTGTAATTTGCCCATTTTTATATTTGGATTATACATAAAATAAAATATCACACACTAATTAAAAAATGAAAAATTTTCATAATGTATTTCATGATATTTTTTTAATGATCCCTAATCTTATTTTTTTCATAATGTCTTTAACTTTTAATTTATTTGAGATCACATTATTCCATATTTTTTTTTTTTGTAAAAGTAAAAAAAAAAGTTTAAAAAAAATTAACTTTTAATCATCTTTTTAAAATAACCCATATCCAATGGGTGATTCTATTTGTACTTGAAAAGTCGTTTAGTACACTTAGAGCATCCGCATTTGAAACTATTGTAGAGAGCATCGGTATCAAATTCTTCATTCATCAGCCTTAATAAATTTTTTATAAATTAATGTTTTGTTAAATTTGCTACAGTAACTCGTCTGATGAAACGAGGAACTGTTCATCGTTAAAACACTCGATTTGGGTGTAACTGGACATCCGTCCGGAAGTCTGGCCGGACGTTCGGCCGATCAACCGATCAACAGCAAATTTATTTTTATTTTTATTTTATTTATTTATTTTTTTTTTACATTTCCTCCAGTTTTACCTTTTATAAAACATAAGAATTGTTTGATTGATAGCTTATTAATTTTTTTATATAAAAAAAAAAGAATAAAAAATATTTTTTAATAGGATTAAATTAAAATAGAGAGTTTGATACAGTGGGTGACTAGTTAAAATAGAAAAATGATTTTTTAAGTTATAATTTGACTAAAATTTTGAAGAGGCTGATACTCATGTTCTTAGGATTTGTTTGAGAAGTAAGTTGACTTTTTTACTTTTTTAACTTGGTACTAAAAAATCTGATTTAGGATAGACTTTTTGACTTTTTAGTGATATGTTCACATGTGAAATTGCCAAACTGCCCTTGGGTGAAAGATTAGTTTCTGCTGGGCGGTGCACGTGATTGTTGACACGTCAATCGAGAAATTTTTATTTATTTAATTTTTTTGTGGAAAAGGCCTTTTTATGTTTTTATTTTTATTTTTAAATGACGTTGAAAATGAAAATTTCTGTTTTAATTTGTAGTTTTTTTTTTTTGGAAAAGGATTTTTCATTTTTTTAAATGACGTGTGTCGATTTTATTTTGTTGTCTTATTATTATTTTTATTATTTGGTTTTGTTTTGTTTGATTTTTTTTTTTTTTTGAGAAAAGGCTTCCTCATGTTTTTTATTTTAAATGACGTGAAAAATGTTAATTCTGGTTTTATTTTATGTCTTTTTATTTTTATTTTTATTTTTATTTTTATTTTTTTGGAAAAGGCTTTTTTATTTTTATTTTTTTGGAAAAGGCTTTTTTATTTTTATTTTTGTAAATGATGTGGAAAATGATAATTTCAATTTTTTTTTAATTTGTGATTTGTTTTTGGAAAAGGTGTTTTTATGTTTTTTTTTTAAATGACGTGAAAAATGATATTTTCGGTTTGATTTGTTTTTTTTTTTAACAAGAAAGCAAATATCTGAAAATATTCATGTCATTGATTGTAACTGTTTGTTGGAAAATTTGTCCTTCACCAACCTAATAATTTTACAAAATTGTTGACATAAACAATTGAAAGGGATTATTTCTCGTGGAAACACATGCATATTGTACAAGATAACATACTTACATATAGTCTCTTTGTCGTGGGATACCAATGTTACCAGCTTACAAATATTAGGTGGACTATTATATATTTTCTAGCACTCCGTTATTACGCATGTACACTAACTTGTCCCGTATGTGAAGTCGCACCAATGCCATATGCGGGTCCTCATCCCTAACCATTAAACTATTATCGTCATGTTCAACTTCTAGTATGGCATTTACTATTGTCGTAGTCTCTTTCTCATTCAAGATAGGATTAACATTTGTTGGATTGTCTGTATTTTGACGTATATAATTATGTAATGGCATTGACGCACCTACTAACTACACTTGGATATTTGCAAAATCATACTGAGGCATATCTCTAATAAACCCACATCGATTTTTTCAAGCGTCGAATGTGCGTTTCACCACCCTGCGTAACGACAAGTGAACTTTGTTAAATAATTCCCTGGGGGTGTTTGCTGTCCTATACCATTCACTAGCGCGGAATTGTTATTAGTGATAACGGCTGCCTCTGAAAGGTGCTAGATAACCTACACGGTTCAGATAGCCAGCATTGACAAGATAATATTTGCCTGGGGACAGTACCCAAATATTTTCAATTCAATTCAATGTGTTAACTTCTTCAAGATGTGGAAATGAGACTGTAGACGTCCCCGAACGTCCCGGGAGGGAATCTCCCGTTTCGTTCGTTTTAGGCTCACTACGGTTCAGGACTCAAATCGTCACGGTTCTAAATCTGAACCAAAGAGTCCAAATCCGACAAATCGTGATTTTTTGAAAAGAAGTGCCAAACGTGGACTGCTTTGCCAGATACAGAGTCGCCACCTAAATATTTTAAAATGTGAGAATTTAGGAAACCCTGACTCGGTGCCAAAGGCCACGTGTCCGTCATCACCAAAGTTGCCTCGGCTCGGGAACTTGGGTACGATTGGGGAAGGTCAACTATGAGCACCCCCTCTCGCCCGATCCAAAGATCGGCCTCTACTGACCATGATATCTAGTTTTGAAAACATTATGCATTCTTAATCCGATTATTAGCCTAATCTTACTTTGTGATGCGCACAACACAAAAGTATAGACTAGATCGCCTAATTTGGAACAAAACATTGCATATTCGTTTGTTTGGGAAATGGTTTGAAATTTACTACTCGTAAGTAGGCTAAAACACGGATTTCAACGAGTTGTTCCAACTCAAACAATCAAACCTTCACCCACAAGCATTCAAGCAGCAATATCACATAAGCACATAGCCACATGGTAAGCATGCTGTCATGTTAACATTCACACTCATGCGAGATGCTAAAGCATAAATACTTACATCGTACTCCGTGCCAAAACAATGAACTAGTTTTTTTAACTTGGTACTATCCTAATTCATGTTAAGGTGGCTAATGTATCTCATACAAAATGTCACTAGAATAGGCTCGGCTAATCTAAGGATGCATGTGAAATGCAAACTCGATGCAACGTATTCAAGTTTGAAATTGAAATACTATGCGGTTAGCATGATGCGCCAAGCCCGGTGCATGCAAGACAAATATATGAATGCACGCGTACATAGCATAAGGTATGCTAATTTAAATATGCCTAATACTAACCATTGAAAGCAGGTAAGTAAAAGGGAGAAAGAAAGTGGGGGTTGGAAGACATGCACACATGCACCACACTTATTACAAATTTGCCCTTGCTCAGAGGGACCAAAAGAATAATACAATTTAATTAACCTATAAGCTAATTAAATATTACAGACCACCTAATTAATTAACAAATCAATTAAGTAAAGAAAGCAATGAAACGCCTCGGGAAGAGGGTCCAATGCATGCATGCTCGGATTTGCTCGGAAACCCGTCGCCATGCACAAGTTGCCTCTGTTTTCCCTGCTCTGCTTCTCTGAAAATTGCAAGAGTCCTAGGGAGCACTCTTTGGACACTGTGGAACACCACCGGCCAAGGGGAATGGTCACTGGCCATGGCAGGGTGGTCATCGACCATCCATGGAGCCATTGGCCATCCATAAATGGTCGATCGGCACTTGGTGTAGTCGACCGGCCAAAGATTGCGCAGAAACCTGTTTTGACAGCAGCAGAGGGCAAAACATGGCATGGCAATGCATTTCAAGCAATGTTTGCACCAACCACTCTCCTTATCATGTTCATGACTCAAAGGGGTATGATACTCGATTCTCGAACCACCAATTGCGCATTTCAATGCGTGATGACCCAAGAAACCAAGTATACATTTTCAATGTAGAATGAAATGCACATAACAAACAATGAGCTCAACCTCTATCATACAAGAGGCAAAGCATGCATGCCAATGCAATGCAACCTATGCATGCGAACTAAGTATGCAACATGGCAATGCAAACAAACATATAAGACATGTGACAATCATGCTAATGACAAGTATGCGAGATGCAATGTGGATGGTCAAGTATGCAAGCAAGCATGTGACTTCATTCAATCATGCAACAACACATAAAGGGTGGACTTAAACCAATTTGGGCAGCCCTCAAGTAGGCCCAAAACAGTGG